GGAATGTGACTGTTGGCAGTTATATGTGAGGCGTAAAAACACGTACTCCGTATTAAACCATCATTCATGCAATAAAATAGGAAACAGTTTTATCGATGATATTTTCTATATATTGAAAGTAAATGCATGGCGTGGATGATTTTTATTAAAGAAGTAGACATGAGCAGTGCGTCTATACAATTCTTCTCCCTTAACATTAAATAAGTTAGATCACAATCTTTATTTCAAAAAAAAACGTTAGATCACAATCTCATCAGTGATCATTAGACATTTAGCACCTTCCGTTATTACAAGTCTACAATCACAATTTCCCCAGTTACACCAAGATCACAATTCTATCAGTGATCATTAGTACCTTTGTCGTAAAACTTCCATTTCACATTGACCTTACAGTCTTTATAATGACTACAACCCTTATAGTGATTGTGTCACACGTTGCTTAGTGACTCGCGCCAGTAACTCACTCAGTTACTGGGAGTGACCACCTACTCTACCCCAATGCTTCAGTCCCTGTCTGCTCCCCTACCCAGCCTCCCCAATCCCTTTTCTATCACTAGTACACGTACCTGACCGGTGTTACCCTGATGGCAACCATAATCACCACCCTCTCTGCCCGTCGTAGCCCAATCCCGACCAACCACCACTCCCACCCTACGAAAATTACTACTATCCTCTTCCCTTCCCCATTGCTCATCCCCTTCCGATCCTTTTCACCAAAGCCCCAATTGCCCTGACATCCCCTTGCACACTTATATCGCAACTACCCCTCCACATTCCAGCCTCTGTCATCGCTGCTGACTCATAAGACAACGGTGATGGCTGAAATCAACCACTCGACCACCGTATCAACAATCAAAGAGGACAAGTGATGTCGGTGAGATGGTACAAATCTTTGATGGCAGCGTGGTTTGCGGGAAAGAAAGGGGAAGAAGTAGAGGGCATGGAGATGACCGCGAGCGTTTCAGAAGTGTTCGTGATGGCTTGGATTTGCTTTAATGATAAAGTGGTAGGAAGACTTAGGAGTTTTTCCCCGGGAATAATGCTAATTAAATAAATAATTCCCAAAATACTGTCTGGTTAAGAATAATTCCCAAAATATTGTTGGGGTTAACCACGGTTAACACAAGCCGCCACTCGAAGTGGTGACTCTTCTATTACATCACAAAAGCCGCCACTCCGAGTAGCGGCTCTCCTATATCCATACGAAATCCACCACTTGAAGTCGCGGCTCATTTATAAACAAAATACGGTGAAAACGGTGACCCTAGTCAAAGTTCCGGCCGGATTCTATCCAAACAAAGCTCAAATCAAAGAGAAAAAGAGACACGATGTACCCTAGAGTGTTTTTCTAGTGGCGGTGACAGAACACAACCTCTGCTGTGCTACTTCAAGTGGCGGCTTTTCTAAGGTAATACAAGAGCCGTCACTCCAAGTGACAGCTTTTGTGAAGTAATAGAAGAGCCGTCACTTCAAGTGGCAGCTTTTTTAACTGTGGTTAATCCCAACAGTATTTTGGGAATGACTCTTAACCCGACAGTATTTTGGGAATTATTTATTTAATTAGCATTATTTCGGGAAAAAACTGATCAAGACCTAATTGCTCCATTTCGCAAGCTAAGCGATGAAAGGGTTGGGGAATTTCAATTAAAAAGTCCAGACACTTTTATGGAATATATTTAATAAGTCATATTTTTGGAACTCAAAAGACTAGTAATAATATTGGGGTCATTATTTATTAAATTATTCTCCAGACATTTATACGTGTTTCATGAATTTTAGCCCTTATTTAGCAATAATTGCATGAATATAACAACCACAGTTATTGAAGGCAAAAACATGACTAGAATCTCAATTGGACAAAAATGTTACTGAAAATGTGTGGACTGACTTTAATACCCTGAGCCCTAATTCATTTCCGTCTTTCTCGTTCTCGTCACTAGCAATCATCGCTTCTTCTTACTTCATCCGCAGCCATCATCGCACCATCGCTTCTTCTTCGCTCATCCGCATCCATCAGCACACCATCACCTTCTCCACGCTGCCACCATCTTCACGCCATCGTCTCCACGATGTACGGGCATCGCATGTATGTCACTGTTTTCTTCTCTCTTCTTCTTTGACAATCATTTCAGCACCTGCGAATCTGCGATGGCGGCGTCCTAGAGATGGTGGAGATCAGACGATGGCGAGCGAGGATATATTACATTATATATTATGAAGGAAAGCGATGAGGGAGATTACGAATGGGGCTAGGGTTTGCATCTACCGCCACCGTTGTAGGGCTAGCGCAGAGGTGTGCGAAGGCTGTGAGCCTGTGACGGGGGTGTGGGGGTGGATCCGCGGTGGTTCAGGGGCGGGATTCGTTCTGAATAGGTGGGAATCTGGGGAGGGGTGCGGTGTGAGGGTGGGATAGTGACGTACTGTGAGCTGGGAATCAGAAGAGAGGGTTCATCAGGGGCGGTGGAAGACGGTGGCGGTGGTCGGGGTAGCCATGGGCAAGCGTTAGAAGTGGGGCTGAGGCTGGGGTAGGCGGGGTCCGGGTTGGGGCTGGCCAATGTACACGGTAGTGGTTTCCTATTGTGGTCACTATCTAGTTGGGTAAATGTGGCAAAAGTATCTTTGACCCGCAGTGGTGGCGGCGGTCACTGGATGACGGCGGTGGCTGGGGGTAGCAGGAGCCAGAGCTGGAAGTGGGGCTGGGGGACTGGGGTAGGTGGGGGTCAGGGTTGGGGTTTGTGTTGCGTAGCGGTTTTGGACGGTGGTGGTTTCCTGTGATAAAACTTGCGGTGGGAGTCACAATGGAAGTGTCACTATGGAAGTGTCACTATGGAGGTGTCACTGTGACCGGAGACAGTTACCGGCCGGTGGTGGCAGTGGTGGTCAATGGCCGGCAGCGGAGGCCGCTGATCACTGTGGCGGCAGTCACTGTAACGTGTGTCACTGTAGCGCGTGTCACTTTGGTCTGTTGTGTAACTATAAATTAAAGTAACTGCACATTAAGGGTAAATAAGTAAGCTTAATCCTTATTAGTCATATTTTTGGAAATTAAACAAAAAGGTCATTTTTTGTCTTTTGTCTACTTTTTGGTAATATTGAGGTCAAAACCCCCACTTTTAATCCTCCGACTAGTATGTTATTGACACTTTTGATAATCGACTTTGATTTTTTTCACTTTTAGTAAATGCAATTTTTATACCCATCTTTCATATTTTCCATAATTAGTCTTTCGACTTTAATAAAATTGTCTTTTTGATCCTTCAACTACTTTGTATTGTAATAGTGACATTATTATTGTTTTACTTACTGTGTCAAAATCATAATGTGAAAAACTAAAAGTGTTTGATGTGAGAAGACTAAAAGTGTTCTTGCACAATGGTCGAGTATTAAAAATTAAAAATAAAGTACCAAAAGTGTCATCGGGACAATAGTCAGCAATCGGAAATGGCAAAAACTCGGTCTTTTATTACTCCCGTCTTATTGGACTTTACCAACTTTTTTTTGTTGTCCCAAAAAGCTTTACTACTTTTTTATTACTATGTACTAATTTGTGGTTCTTTTGAATTCTATATATATCCTCTACACAACTCTCTGCAAAATTGTTTTTACTTTTCTTATTTGTCACCTACTTTGAAGTTTGAACATGACAAAGTCTACCAAGGCGCAGGTAATATAATCCGCTCCAATAAAAGGAAAAATGTATTTTTAGTCCCTCAAATAGTACCGATATTGAAACATAATTTGTGTTCCCAAGTTTGTAAATATCACCCCTCAATTTTCCAAAATACAGTAAATGTGGTCCTTTGAGATTGAAATGTACGATGTGGATGAGGGGTACATTTACACGAATTCGGACAATTGAAGGATTACATTTACATAATTGGGAACACATGGATTACATTTCAATATCGATATTATTTGAGGAACTAAAAGTGTGGTTTCCCCAGATAAAAATACGTGATTAGTTTCCTTAAAGAAGCCCAAAACCAAGTTCTGCATATTTCGAATTGCAAAATGCAAAACCGGACATAAGGGGAGATTTGTTGCGGAAACGAATCCATGGATGGTGCAGATCTAACCAAAAGAAAAGATGTTTTTAAAACACCGACCTCAACCGGTCGGATTGATGCGAACCGGCGACCCAAGAAAAAATCCGATTTGGTTAGTTCAAAACCCAAAAATGGTCAAAAACCAGAAAACCCCGGTGGACTCGAGAAAATCCGGTCTGGACCCGAACACAAGAAACCCGAAAACCTGAAAAAAACCGGTTTTGGGTGTTTCCTAGAAATAAAAAAGATTTTTTTTTTGTTTTTTTTTTTAATTTTAATGCATTTTATAAATCAATGAAATTGCAATTTCAATACCCTAAAAAGAAAAACTATGTAATATATTTATATATTTATTTAAGAATGTAGATCACGCCAAATTATATTATAAAGTACAATACAAAAGTCAAAAAACAATATCATTATATATTTTAATAGAATTAAAATTACATTTTAGAATATTTTAGAATAATATGACAGTGTATAAAGTGTTTAGTAAGTATAATGATTATTGATTATCATGATTCATGAATAATAACTATTTTTCTGTTCCAAATTGATGGTCCTATACTTTTTTAGTTCGAATATTAAGAAAAAGTGGTAAAAGGAGTCATATCACCTTACTTTTTTGTATTGTTCACTCCTTTATTTTTATTTTCATTAAAAGGAAGAGTATAAACGATAGCCTACTTTAATTTCATTACCAAAAGGGAAAAAGTGACTATCATTTTAGGGCACTCCAAATAGAAAATAGAGAACCACCATTTTGGACCTAGATGATACTTTTTATTTATGATTTTGTATAATCGTTGGTGGTTGATTGGTTTTCTGGCGTTGATCGAGTTAACCCATCAGGTCTGGGTTGACCCGTGACCCAGTGTGTGGTCCGGTCGTTTCCCGGTCCGGTTTTTAATTACTCCGTATAAAATAAAAGAAGTGGAGGTGGGGGTAGAATGAAATTTGATCCGAAGAAGTAATATAGGCAAAGCTAGGCAGAGACGCAAACACGTTGCTGCGCCTGCCACGAGTGACTATGACGCTGGTGGAGATGAATAGCGGCGCACCGTTCCTTCCAATTGAAATCATCTCCGACGTTCTCAAGCGACTTCCGGTGAAATCCCTAATCCGATTCCAAACTGTGTGCAAACTCTGGAAGAATCTCATCAAAAGCCCATCTTTCATAGCCAGTCACCTCGACCACTCCGACCGAGAAAATCCCTCTTTTATTGCCAGGGGAAGGAACTACGTCTCAGGTTCCTCGATTCTACATTTTCTCGACCGCGACTTGCAACTCCGGCAAGTTCAAAAGAATCCCTTTATCGATTCGCTAGAGTGCGTCTGGATCGTAGGCTCCTACAACGGCTTGGTATGTGTTCAAACTGGGCAGCCTGGTACTCTATATTCTCTTTACCTGTGGAATCCTGCAATTAGAGAGGTTATAGAGGTTCCTAGAAGCAGACCAAACATGGATTTGTGTTATTTTTGTAGTTTAGGCTTTGCATTCAGTCCAACTGTTAATGATTACAGAATTGTCATACCCTATGTGAAGCCGGGTGATGAAGAATATGGATTTGAAGCTTATTCACTAACCACAAATTCATGGAAAAACATAGGAATGGGTAGCTTAAAGGGCATATGCCCTTTCTTTGATTGTGTTACTTTGAATGGGTCTATGTTTTGGTTGGCATCACAGAGAGGTATGGCATCTCATGGGGAAGATAATACTAATGTCATACTTTCATTGTATTTAGCAATGGACAAGTTCAGATTGATACCACCGCCTCCTTTATCCAGGAACGAAGTCGCTAAGCTGACTGAGTATGAGAACAGGCTTGCTGTATTTCATTATTCTAGTGCTTTAAACACAGCAAATACTTCGATCGATTTGTGGGTTATTGAGGAAGGCATTGGTGGTTCTTGGAGTAAGATATTGACTTGTGGCCCTTATCCACACTTTGCAATACCGTTGACCATTTGGAGGAACCAGATTCTTTGCGATGTTTTTGATGAATGTTCAGTAGAGGGGACCGATGAGATTGAAACTACTGGTAGTTGTTTGTTTGATCCCATTTCTAATGAAGTCAAGGTCCTTTTCTCAGGCAGAAGTGGAATTCTTCATGTTATTTTTAGATATGTTGAAAGCCTTGTACACATCTGCAACATCCACACTGCAAAGTATTAATTTTGAAGTGTGATTATTATTGAATCATTATTGTTTAATTGTTTGCTCGTAGTTGTAGAACATGCAAAACGCCATTTAAAGACACGAATGCATTTGCACATACCCTTGAAGGCCTTGATGAATTTGAAATAGAAGAAATGTTAATAGACAAAGATAGACAAAAGAATAGTTGGGTGTGAATAGATGAAGTATAATAGAATGCAGGTATCTGTGGAGGTGAGATTTATTCCGAACCCACCAGCTCTAGTACTCAGGAGTATCATATAAGGGCCGTTCAAATCATTGAACTCTTGAATCTATTTAAAACAAAAAAAAAAACTCAAAAGAAAATATTATTGTTTCTTGATGTGTATCTACAATATAAGAAACTCCCAAGATCAGTAATTTACAATAAACCTATTTGACATTGCCATCAATTCTGCAGACTTCTAAATTCTTTTGAGAAAAATAGTACTCCGTCTTCAATTATGTCAAGCATTTTAGTTCACTGAGAGAACCTAGCGTGCCATCAATTATTGAGAAAAAAACATTGAGAATATATAAATGCTAAGTTGTTAAGAAAAAACCTAGTGTGCTATCATTTTATTAGGAATCAAGCACCTTGAGTTCAAGCAGTTTTCAACAAGTTTTTCTAGTATCTGAAACTTGCCACACTGACCAACTATTTGCTCCATCGGTGGGAAGAAAATTTGTCAGAAGTAAAAACGGTAACACTGGGTTTGTTAGCTTGGAATGCTTATTTAGAGCATCTTCAATGGTACAATGTGCACGGTGCACACGTGGCATGAGAAATGACCACATAAATATTAGTAAATAAATTATTTCTCTCCTTATTTGAATGATTTTATACATTTTTGGTAAGTTATTCTCCACAATGTCAAAGAGACCGTCTAATGTTGACATTGTTGTTGACATTGCAGGGAAAAACTTACTAAAATTATATAAAATCATTCAAATAAGGAGAGAAATAATTTATTTGCTAATAATTATGTGGCTATCACTCATGACACATGTGCACCGTGGACATTATAGCATTGAAGATGCTCTTATTTAGGAAATGGTCTTATCGTTTCATATTGAAAAGAATTTCAATCAAGTAATTGAAATATATGTTAACTTTCAATCAAGAATATGATAATTGTTGGACACGAATGATTAAAAACTGTCAATTGATTTAAAACATGACAATTTTGATGTTTCTATTTTTTATTTCATTGCTAGTTTTGATGGGTTTTCTTCACAAAACTGCATTAGTTTACTAAAGCTAAATGCTATTAAAAATAAAAATAAAAAATTATAAAATTCATCATATTTTAGGTGGGGGGTTAGATTGATAGTTTTAAATCATCCAATCCATATATTGATAATTTTCATCTTTTGAGTGTCTAATTGATAGTTAACACAATTTTCGGAAATAAAATTCGTATTGAAAGATATCTTATTTACTCCCTCCATCCCATTGGACTTTGCCAACTTTCCCTTTTTTATTGTCCCAAAAAACTTTGTCACTTTCCTATTAAAGCAACTAATTTGTGGTTCTATACATTTCTCTCTCCTCTGCACAAATCTCAACCACACAGTTATTACTATTCTTATTTCTCACCTACTTTGCATTTGGCAAAGTCCACCGGGACGGAGGTAGTATTAAACAGACTCCAGAACGACTAGTTGGTGACTTCTCATTGCATGGGGCGTATGTTTAAATTAGCGATTTGGCAGGCCATTTCAGTTCGTATAATGGCTGATTTTTTCAATTAAGTCAACAATTACAAAAGATGAAGTAATTCCCCAAAGCCCCAATTCACCTTGCACACTTAGGATGCTTTTACTTGGACGGTATTTGATGGTCTAGGCTGGTCCAGTCTAGTCTGATCTGATCTGAACTGATTTGGTTTCTTTGTATTTTTATAACAATCCAAGTCTTGTCTATTCTGGTCTGTTCTGGTCTAGGCTGATCTGGTCTGGGACAGATTACAGTCCAAGTAAAAATATCTGTATATCGCAACCCCTCCACACTCCAGTCGCTGCTGACTCATAAGACAACGGTGATGGATGAAATCAACCACTCGACCACCGTATCAACAATCAAAGAGGACGAGAGATGTCTGTGAGATGGTGCAGGTCTTTGATGGCGGCGTGTGTTAAGACACGGGGTTCCATATAACCTCATAGGAGGAGTAGCCTGAATTTTAATATAGTGTTTAATCATTCCAAAGATATCTGACGTGGGACATTTAACACCCCTCCTCACGACCAGACACTTCGTCTGGATCGTGCCATCATTCATTTTTTTTCATCGGTCCGTTTTTTCCCCGGCCTTTTTTATAACCGTTTCATCATTCTTCGTAAGGGGCCCCACACCATGGATCAACCTGGATCTGATACCATGTTAAGACACGTGGTTCCATCCTAAAAGGTCAACCCGATAGGGGGAGTAGCCTGGATCTTAATATAGTGTTTAATCATTTCAAAGATATCCGGTGTGGGACATTTAACAGCGTGGTTTGTGGGAAAGAAAGGGGAAGAAGTAGAGGGCAGGCAGATGACTGCGGGCGTTTCAGAAATGTTGGTGACGGCTTGGATTTGCTTACCTAATGAAGTGGTAGGAAGACCTAGTTGCTCCGTTGCTGAAGCGATGAAATTTAATTTTACGGCTGTTGCGGTTATTGTGGCCGTTGTGATGTGTATTGCTGTCGATGCGGTGTAATTTAATTTTACATTCAAATGAAATAAGAAAATAATTAGTGTTCATGTCTTGATACGATCTGATATGGCCCCATTGCGGTTTCATTAGGTTACGCAGTAGATTTTCCCCGCAAATTAAAATCTCACCTCCATTGTGGCCCGATACAGTTGCGCAAAAAAATGCAACGGCAATATTGTAACCCTGACACATGTTGCAATCCCGACTTATCCTCGTTGCAGCCATGTTGCAGTTTCGTTGGGTTTCATTGGGACAATGAGAGGACATTATTGTTATTCTTGAAATTGTGTATAATTGAAGAATAATAAAAGTGTTATGTAGAAAAAATTTACCGTGAAGATTTTGACTGCGTTCATTTTATATGCATATGGTTATTATGTTTTCATATCATATTGTTTTTGCTCACGGTATAAATTGAGTGTAATTATCCATATAATTGAAGTAGTGGATTTGAAAAATAATTTACATTATTATTTAGTGCACAATTCAATTAAGAATTAAGCATATTATGTAGATGTTATAAATTAATTAAATTTTGTAATTTAAAAGTATGAATTATTTTTCATATTACATTTACATTTGCATCATTTAATGAGTTAAACAATGATTGTAAAATTAAAAATATTAATATGTATTGTGTGAAGTCAATAAGAGAGTCATGCGTAGTATTTCATAATTCAAGTTTACATTTTTTTGAATTATTAATTCAAAATGTAAATATTAATTATGAAATCTTAATTTTAAGAGTTGAATCTACTCAAAAAAAAAAAGTTTTGGTCTTTATTGATAAAAAAGCTCTAAGCTTAAAACTCTCCATCAGATTGGGTCTTCATATTTTTTATTTTTACATATGTAATATTGGTGTCATATGAAAGAACATAAAAAATTATGAATTTTGATATGCTTTTATGAAAATTGAAGTACAAATAAAAAAGTTATAACACTTTAAAAAGAGATTTTTTCTCCTATGTTTTCTCCAAATGAGCTGACCTAATTCAGGTGAATAGGTTGTGATGAACTGCATAGGGAGATTGAATTAAATGTTTTAATATGAATGATAATAGAATTTTTAGTAACCAATGAGAGATTGACATATCATCACAAAATGCAAAACCGGGCATAAGGGGAGATTTGTTGTGGAAACGAATCCCTGCGTGGTGTAGATCTAACCAGAAGAAAAGCTATGTTTAAAAAACCGACCCAAACTAGTCGGGTCGACCTGGAACCCGGTGACCCGAACGAAAACCCGGTTCGGTTAGTTCAAAACTCGAAAATGGTCAAAAACCGGAAAACCCCGGAGGATTCGGGAAAACCCGGTCTGGACCCAGACCCAAGAAACCCGAAAAACCAGAAAAAGTATCCAGTTATGGGCGTTTTTTCCAAAAATAAAAAAGTAATTTCTTTTTTAATTTTAATGTTTTTTTAAGATTAACTGTGTAATACCTAAAAAGAAAAACTGTGTAATATATTTATATATTTATTTAAGAATGAAAATCATGTCTAATTATATTATAAATGTACAATACAAAAAGAATATCATTATATATTTTAATTGGATCAAAATTATATTTTAGAATATTATGAGAGTGTATTAAATGCTTAATAAGTATTATCATTATTGATTATCATGATACATGAATAATACCAACGTAGTACTTTTTATTATAATTTTGTATACAATTATATGTCTATTATCATTATTAATATATGGACGTATAATTATTGATCTATTTTCTGGCGTTGATCAGGTTGACCTAGGGCTATTAACGAGTCGAGCCGAACCCGAACACCTAAAGCTTGAGTTCGGCTCGATAAGGAATTAATGGTGTTCGGGTTCGAGCTCGAAGCTCGACGAGCTTTACAAATGAGGCTCGTGTTCGGCTCGATAGGCGTTCGATGTTCGAAGCGAGCACTCCATAAGCTCGATAAATATGGTCGGGTTTAAAATTTTAGGTGATGCTCGTTATTAGGCTTGTGCTCGAATGATTCTACAAGTATTCGGTTCGTTAATAAACACATTTAAATTCATAAAATCATACTAATTATATTTAAATTTTAATTATATATAAATTATATTTATAATTTTAGGGTGTTCGATAGGCTCGAGTTCGAACCGAGCCGAATACTACTATGTTCGAGCTCGGCTCGATTAATTTTTCGAACTTAAAACTCAGCTCGGGTTCGAGTTCAAAAGCTCGTTAAGCTCGGCTCGTTAGGTTCGAAACCGAGCTCGAACTCGAATAGTTCGATAAAAGCTCGGTTCGTTAACAGACCTAGGTTGACCCACCAGGTCCGGGTTGATCCGTGACCCAGTTGTGTGGTCGGGTCATTTACCAGTCCGGTTTTTTAATCATAAAAGAAAAGACGTGTCGACGTGGGAGTAGAATGAAAACGG